TTTCATAAGATATATATAATATATATTAAATGTAAAGTTAAAAAGTTATTAAATTTTAAAAGAGATAGGTGCGTCTGAGAAACAAACATAACTAATAAATTAAATGTGTAAAATAGCATTTCTGAATATCAAATATAATACACTTAAATAGATTTTTGTCTACATAGCTTCTTTCGCTTGCAAGGAAGAAATGATTGCTAATGCTCCGTTTGGATGGAGAGAAAAGTTAGGAGGAAAGAAAACGGAAGGAGAGAAAGTGGAGAGAAGAGAAAACTGGAGAGAAAATGTTATCACCTCTTTTGTTTGGATAGACGAAAGAAAATAGAGAGAAATAAGCAAAAACATGAATGACCAAAATATCCTTACATATAAGAATATATCATATTTAAAATCAAAATTAATATTAGAATAACAAAATGATATTAACGTTAACATGATCAAAAAATTTATAATCAAATAATTTGATAAACATATAATTTCATAATTTTCTATTTTAAACCAAATAATTTTAGAGAAAAATATTATTTTTGAAGGTTACAAATTGGATAATTTTTAAAATGAAATATAATTAAAAGAAGTATATAAATTAAACATGATCCAATATTTTCGAAACCAATGTCATTCCAAATCCAAAACAGAACCATAGCAAAAACATTTCCCCAATAATAGACATGGATAAGAATCAATCTTGAAGAGAGAGAAAGCAAAAGCATCAAGTCAATATCAGGGAACCAAAATTATCTCCCAATTCCACCAACTCAATCAGAATTGCAAGAAAACCATGAAATTTCAATAGCAGTAGTACAAAGGAATTATTTTTTCTCCTAACTCAAATGTGAAATCATGAGGGACATGGTCCATGAATTAGAATGGTTGAAAGGAAAAAGAGTAGAAAATAAAAGGGAAAAGATGGAGCAGGGATAAAAGGAAATATTCACCTGATAGTCGAAGCAATGATGGAGCTATGATGGTGTTATGGACCTTATCCTTGCATCTGTATTAAGAAGAATGATTTTGAGTGGAGTTCAGGATGGGAGGCACGGCTAGGTACGTGTGCAAATTTTCAGAATAGAAAAAAAAGAAGAAAAAAGGAACATGCGAAGGAAAAAGGGCAAGTATGAAAAAATAAGTTTTCTTCCCATTTTCTCTCCATATGTGGAGAGAAAAATTGGGTGGGTCCCACACCTTATTTTCTTTCCAACTTTTCTTTCCTCTCATTGTTCCTCTCCCATCCAAATAGAAGAAAACACACTTCTCTCCCCATTTTCTTCTCTAGTTTTCTTTCCTCTCTCTTTTTCTCCCCATCCAAACGGGGGTAAATGCTTTTCCTCCCACCAAGCGCCAGATCAAAAGGAAGAAAGTTCAAACAATATGCAAATTTAGAGCAACCAGCCAAATTTAACATTCTTAAAGAGGATAGAGAAAATAAATCATTAGGAATACTAACTAGATTACTACAATTCCTCAAATTTAAGAATTCGAGTGTTGAAAGAGAAGCCATTGATGAATCAAGCTGTGATAATTTACTGCATCCTTCAAGCTCTAGCCTCCGAAGAATTGGTAGGGATTTGAAATTTGGCAGCTTTATTAAATCTTTAGACCCACTAAGATTCATGTTCTTCAAGAGAAAGAACATCTGTGGATTAAAAAAAAAAAACCAAACAATTAAACAATATCTACAAGGGCATATATAGGCACAATTAACGTTACCTTTTCTTCTTCATCATCCCATATACTTGTGACACGGCTATTAGGCAAAATCAATTCGGCAAGAAAAAAGGGGCGAAAACTTGATGGCAAAGAAGTGAATGGATATTGGTGCCATGAAATATATTGGAGCCACAAGGGAAGATACTTTAAGACTCCAGAAAATTTTACAATGCGAAATATGAGTAATCTAAGGTTTCTCATGCGTGATAGACTTTCGGCTCTCAATGTAGGCCCTTGTGAATCTTCTAATTCCAAGACTATTGCTTTAACTTCAAGAGTAGCCTGATAATAAAAACATTTACATAAAAATGATGCAAAGTCTTCAATTTTAGTACATTATGTGTTAAATGTTTCAACCAAAAGAACATTATGAAAACTTACCATGTCATTTTGCATAACACCAAAAATATCATCAAAATCCCACAATTTGCTCCACTCTTCTGGCTTAGAAGGAAATTTATGTCGAACAATTTCTCTTCCCATTTCTTGCACTAAACTATGCATTTGAATTTTCTGATCTACAATGGCCATGAGTGACTTCTCAGTCACAACTTGTACATCGTACTTCACTGGTATGAACGCTATCCAAAATTCCTGCCACGAATTTAATATCCTTCCCATTTAAAAAACATGCCATGTCTAAAAATATTTCCTTGCAGTCACGGTCCATTTCATCAAAACTATTTTTGAGGACCTTCATTATCATAGAATTAGCGACCTTTTTAAGTTCAACCAAGGCACTACTCCATTCTGAAGCTCTTCTGTTATACAAGAAATGGCCCAGTACAACAATAGCTAATGGCAGGCCACTAGCATATTGGAGTACACTATCTATTTTTGCTCCTCATAACCTCTCAATGGAAAATCATATTTGAAAGCTTCTCTACAGAACAATTGAAGAGCTCCGTCCTTGGTCAATAGTTTAACCCTATAAATATAATGCTTCCCAAGCCATTTAAGGTCTCCTTCATCTCTAGCTACTATGATGATTCTACTCCCTCCACCTAACATGTTAGAATTTACAAACCAGATCATCCGATTTACATAAGGGAAGACGAATGCCATCAATAAACAGGAGAATATTTTCTAGAATATTATTTTTGAGATATTTTCGACTTGCAACCTTGTGAAATTCAGATGCATTGAGTATGAAATGAGAAGCATAAAAATGGTGAGAGATCCTATCATGTAGAACTCTAGCAAGAGTTGTCTTCCCTACCCCACCCATACCACAAATGCCCAACACAGGAACTTCATCATTCATACCCAGCTCTAGAAGCTTTTCTACATCTCTCACTCGAGATGGCATTCCTACTAAATCTGCATCAACATATTCCAGTTGACGTACTTTTTTCTTGACCTCTCTAACAATGTCATCAGTAACTTGTGGGCATGGGCTGAAGTAAAACCAGAAACAAAAGCACCCAATTAGTAACTTATTCAATACCCCGTTACACTATAATTGATAGAGAAAAAAGGCAAGAGTAAATTTACTTACTCATATGGTACATCCCAACTTTCAGAGAGATTGGCCACTTGAGTTATTGCTGATCTCCAAATGTGTCCCTTGCGTAAATTTGTTGGGAACCTTTGTTCATGTTGAGCAAAAGCTTTTTCAAAAGAGTTACACTGGTTTTGAACCTCAGATGGGTCAACACCATAGAAAATTGGGAAAACAGTATATCGCGATTCATGAACACGAACAGCGATCTCTGAGAGCTCCTCAAGGCACCTTATAGAAGAACCATAGTTTTTGGAGAAGACAATGATGGAAATATTGGATTGTCAAATTGGTTTAAGAAAATGACGAGGAAGACAGATGGAATCACCTGGTTCAAGCTTCTCATCATCCCAAAAGGTATTCAAATCGTCAGTCTCAAGAGATGCCCAAAGCCTATCTGTGAATTTGCAAGTTTCGTCATCTCCTTTGATACTTAGATAAACTTGGATCGGCCTTGATGATGATGATGGTCTAGTAACGAAACTCTCCCCCATCACTTTCATGATCGGTCGCGTTTCTCAATGGGAATTAAGCTGGATAGAGTGGAGTCACAATTTGCTCACTTAGCTCTGGAAGATGAGCGAATGGAAAAGAGAAACAAAATTAGAAGCCGAAAATAAAATGAAAAGTGTATTGTTAAGGAGGAAATTTCCGGGAGGTTGGCGCCGAGAGGGATACGAAGAAGTTCCAAATTGTTGTTTCTTTTAGTGCGCACCTTTGATAAGAATTGAAAATAAAGAATTTTGTTAACTGCTTATACTCTTTCTCCTTTTCATTGTGAGGTAGGCAAGAAGTTGACAGAGACCAGACACAACTAGCATGCTCCTTCAATAATTAATTTCTAACGATTTTTGTTATTTATTCACTTATTTTTTATGGAGTACTTGTTCAGTTTTTCTTCGATTGGTCTACAGCCACTTGGGTTGCAGATAATCCTTGAAAAAATTAGGGAAAATGACAAGAAAATGACTGTTGAATTTTGAAATGACAAAATGGGCATGTAAATTACTGAAATAACAAAATGGCATGGGGTATTAATCTGGAATTTGGATAATTCGTCAAAAAGACTAAAATGCTCCTGAACCAGTCTGAAGACATGAAGAACGAATACATGACACGTAATAACAGAAGAGAGAGAGCTTAGAAGCTGAAAACGCAGCTGGAGTAGAGTCGAACGCTGAGAAGACGAAAAAGGTAAGGGAAATTTCTCCTAAAATGCTCTTATCTACTCCTCCAACTTTCACCATTCCACAAATCTGATTTATTACGGTGGAATTGCTTTGTGGACAACTTGGTTTGCAGTGAGAGAGAGAGGTTGAACGTGGGTATTACATAAGAAAGTGGAGCTTAACGATGGGTTTCAGTTTTCAAGTCGGTTTACTGGTGTATGGTCTAATGGGGATGGGTTTATGAGTATAGATGGTTTAAATGAAGAACCTGACCAGGATGAGAGAGTGATACATCGGAAATGGAAAAATAGTGGGAACTGATAACGTGGGCATGAAGTTTGAGGGCTAACAGTAAGCATGAGGTGGTCAGTGTTGTTAAATTCATTATTGGAATTGTGAAATCCCATATTTAAGTTGTCAATGCAGCAATTGTGTGTGTGCATTTTTTGGGTGTTGTATTTTTTGTGAAATCCTAAGAAAAGTTTTGAAATCTTGATAAATGAAATTGATTATTGGGGAACTAAAATATTGATTTATGCTTCTTTGGTGCAGGTTAGGTAGCTTTGATGACATCTAACATTGGGTCAACATCTTCAAAGCATCTTGCTTGTTACTTTCATATGGGTGGGAACTTTGCAGAAAATGGTGATGGTGAAGTTAAGTACTATGGTGGAACTGTCAGGGTAAGAGTGATAAAGAAGGGTATAAGACTTGAAGATTTGAGGGTTATGATAGGAGAATGGTTTGGTGTAGATAGTAATGGTTGCGACATTAAATACACATTGGGCTTTAATGATAAGATATTAATAGATCTTATTGATGATGATGAAGTTGACAACCTATTTGAGTATAATGATAGTAATGCACATGTTTACGTAACATCTAAAGGTAATGAGAATACGGAGGAAGAAGTGGCTGATCGAAACAGGTAAGTCACAAGTTTCTGGTTATGGAAGTTGTTAATTGCCATAATGTTGTTGTCAATATCATAACAAATGTTGTAATTATACATGCAGCATGTCGAAATTGTCGGGACTGTCACAGCAAAATGATGAGCCAATGATTCAGGATGCTGTCGAATGTGTGAATTACATAGTAGCTGAAAATGTTCTTATCCTGTCATATGCAGTAGAGAGTGCACCAACTCCTTTGCCAGGGATGAATTCCCTGAAATGGAAGACAGTATTATTAGGATTGAGGTAGACTTTTCTAGATGCGGATGATTTCAAGAAGAAACTACACAAATTCAGCATTGCAAACAAATTTGAGTATAACTATGTGAAGAATTCTAATGCCCATATGTATGTCAAATGCAATGTTGAAGGCTGTCCATGGAGGATCAATGCGAGAGCAGCTGGAAAGAGTACTCTAGCATTTTTACGTGTAACAACATTAAAAAATGAGCATGTTCATAATGCCCAAGACAATCTTCACGTGACACATGGTGGATCAGCTAGCTTGACATCATCAATTATAATTGAAGAGGTTAGGGATCACATAGACATGTGTCCAAATGATATAAAAAAGAGGTTGGAAAGAGATTATGGTGTGAAGTTGACATACAAGCAAGTATACAGGGCCAAGGAAAAAGCATTAGAGGACATACATGGCAGACCTGATCAAACTTACATGCTTATTCCATGGATATGTGATCGGTTGAAGGAAACAAATGACAAAACAGTGGCAAAATGGGTGGCTGCAAGGAACAACAGATTTAAGCGTGTATTCATAGCCTATGGGTTTTGCATAGAGGGTTTTATTGCTGGTGCTAGAAATGTACTGTATATTGATGGAAGTCATTTAAGTGGACCGTATAAGGGGACATTACTTTCAGCGTCGGCTTATGATGGGGACAATGAATTATTACCTTTTGCCATTGCGATTGTGAAGGAAGAGACACTTGAGGATTGGACATGGTTCTTACATATGATTAAGGAGATAGTTGGGTCAATGTAATTAACAATTATTTTAGATAGAAAAAATGTAATTATAGGCATTGTGCAAGCAATATTCGGAGGTGAGTGACATGCGTACTGTTACAGACATGTTAAGGAGAATTTCAATACACAAATGATCAAGTTAAATAGAGGAAAAAGGAAGACAAGTGGCAACACAAGAGAGGATGGACTGCATTTCCTAGATGCCATTGCATATGCAAGGCTTGACACAAAGTTTGATCAAGCAATGGATAACATGAGACACTTCAATTCCCAATTATTTGAATGGCTTGTCAATCATGGTGATATTCACAAGGGGGTCTTAAGCAAGTTCCCTTTTAAACGATGGGACAACATAACAACAAATCTTGCGGAGTCATTCAATACGTGGATGTTGAAGGAGAGAAGATATAATGTTGCCCAACTTATACATGAGCATCGTGAAAAAGTGGCCAAGAAGATGTATGCAGTAAGCATGGCAATGAGCAAATGGAAGAATGATGCAAGCCCAAATACAAATGCAACATTGATGGAAAATATGACGAGATCTGCACGGATGTTAAGTGTTCCTTACGGAAAGGGGAGGGTGTGTGTCCATACAGCAAAAGGAACCATTAATGTTGATCTTGAAAAAGGTGAATGTAGCTGTGTAGCTTGGCAAATGTCAGGCATCCCATGCCCGCATGCATGTGTAGCTATCAAGGCCTTAAATTGCAATGTGTATGATTTTATTGAAGAATGCTACAAGATTACGTCCTAATAAAAGATTTATGGTAGGATAATGACTCTAGTGGTGATAATCGGCATGCCAAATCCTAATAACTATCGGCTGCAAGATATAGCAAGTCAAGTGTTTTTGGCACCACCTTTGACTAGTCGACCGCCAGAAAGGCCTAGGATAAATAGGCAAGAGTCGCAATTTCAAAACAAAAAGGTGTACCATTGTAGTGCATGCCAACAAGTTGGCCACACAAGAAGAACATGCAAGAATCCAAACCCAACTTAAGATTTGATGTCAATACCAACAGGGGTAATTTTTTTTTATAGGAATGGAATGACTCTTGAACCCTTTTTAATTTTTTTGGGAGAAGGATTGATAGGTAGGCTATCTTTTTTGTAAATGATGTTAACTAGGTAGGATATGTTCTGTAATCTGAATGACAAGAAAATATTAGGCGGTGGGTTAATCCTAATGTTAACTTGTCATTTGGATATCAGTTATGTAGCTTCTGTCATAGGCCTACTGGTTTTTGGTAAATATTATCACTTCAGTGGTCAATTCCTTTATAGATGTAGTAAAGTCTGAATGTTAATGTAAAAATCCTATGATGGGTAGGCTATCCCTTTTGTAAATGATATTTACTGGGTAGGATATGTTTTATAATCTGAATGACAAGGAAACATTAGGTGGTGGATTAATCTTAATGTTAACTTGTCATTTGAATATAAGTTATGCAGCTTCTATGATGGGCCTACTGGTTTTTGGTAAATATTGTCACTTCAGTGGTCAATTCCATTACACATGTAGTAAAGTTTGAATATTAATGTAAACATCCTGTGATGCTCTTCAGGTGTACTTCTATGCTATTTTGTCAACATAGATGACTTTTTGTTTAATGCCCTCGAGGGAGATGGTGGAAGTTGCCAATGGGTATGACTGGAGTGGTTAATGTCATCAACGATGTTGTTATTCACATTACCAATGTTGTTATTATCATTTCCGGGCTAGTGAAACTCCCTGAAAATATGTGTTACTTGACTTTGAAATAAAGGAAGTGGAAGTGGAAAAAGCATAGTGGTAAATATCATCACTAAAGTTGCATTTAAGATTTCCAATGTTGTCATTATCATTACAAGGGTAGTGAAATTACGTGAACAATTTGATGCGTGGGTTTGAATTAAAGGAACCAGAAATGGGAAAAGCAGAGTGGTAAATCGCATTAGTGAAGTTGCAATTAAGACTTCAAAATGTTGTCATTATGATTACGGGGATTCCTTGAACAATTTGATGCGTGGGTTTGAAATTAAGGTGGAAAAGGAAAAAGCAGAGTGGTAAATATCATCACTAAAGTTGCAATTAATATTTCCAATGTTGTTATTATCGTTACGGGGGTAGTGAAATTTCGTGAACAAGTTGATGCGCGGGTTTGAATCAAGGGAACTGGAAATGGGAAAATCAAACTGGTAAATATCATTATTGAAGTTGCAATTAATATTTTCAATGTTGTCATTATCATTACGGGGGTAGTGAAATTTCTTGAACAATTTGATGTGTGGGTTTGAATTAAAGGAACCAGGAATGGGAAAACAAGACTGGTAAATATCATTACTGAAGTTGCAATTAAGATTTACAATTTCATACATGGGTTTAGAACATGGGGATGCAAATAGGGAAACCGTAATGGTAAATCTCATTACTATAGTTGCAATTTACATTAACAATGTTGTGATTTTCATTACCCAGGTAGTGAAATTCTGTGACAAAATTTATATGTGGGTACGAACATGCAGTTGCAAAAAGCAATAGCGCGGTGGTAACAATCATTACAAAAGTTGCAATTTTCATTACGAATGTTGTGATTATCATTACCGGGGTAGTGGATTTCCGTTAAAAAAGTGTTACTTGGGTATGAACATGCAGAGTTGCAAAAGGCAATGGGAAGATTGTAACTATCATTACACAGGTTGCAATTATCAGTACGAACGTTGTCATTATCATTACTGGGGTAGTGAAAATGGATTAAAAAAACGTGATTTGGGCTTGAAAGACTTCAGATGCAAATGGCAACAGTGATGTGGTAACTATCATTACAAACGTTGCAATTCTCAATACGAAAGTTGTTAATCCTATTACTTGTGTAGTGAACCTAGGTCCTAATTTGGGGCACAAATAATCAACTTGTGATTATCATCACGGAAGTCACATGGCATGTTGTAAATACCATAACTTTTTTACTCAAATTATTCCAAAAAGGATTGCAATTAGGCTAACAAATGGCAGCCACTTACTACCTCCAACCATAAGTCAAATATGTTCACAAAAAACTAGCACTGCTTTCACAAGTACTATATGCCTAATCTACATAATGTTTCCTGCTATTATAGATGCCGTCTTTTGGTCAGTGTGGTGGCTTGGGTTGATGAAAGCAAGCTTAATGCTTTATCACGTCTTGAATTAAGCTCATGATTCACTAGCCACCACATGAGGTTTCGTCAGAATTCACACGTATATTATGCCCAACATTACAACAACACAGCAATCAAACAACAACAATCAGAGAGATATCTCGTCAAACATGGACCGAGTTATATGAATCAAAGCAAGCACACAACTTCTGTAATTCCGTCACAGACAAAAGCACCGAGTTTTAATCTAATCTACCTTTACATTCCATTTTAAGCCTTTACCATTGCTTCCTCCACTTTACAACCAACATTCACCGTTTTCCCCAAATCAAAACACTCCAATCAGACAAGTACAAGATGGAGAGATTTAGGTGGCTTACCGGGGTCGGAATGAATATCGACTTCTTCCTCAACCGGCGACGACCTTACAGGTGCTCTCCCTCGAAATCTCTCTCTCTAGCCACCCCTTCTCCCTTCTGAAGATTGAAGCTTGTCACTGGTTTATTGCTTCTCACTGAGACCCACTAAAAAGATGAAGAAGCCGGACGCTATTCACATTCCTCGTTCACAGTATCCTCAACTATGGCAATGTGAGACGTGAGAACCATATGCAGTTTCGCCGAGTGCAATGAGAGAGTTCAGAGAACCCTATGGTCTATGCAGTTTCGCCAAGTGGAGAATCATCAACCAAACTCTAGTTCCGTTGCACAATATCCCGCCCTCTGATTCCCGAAAAAATTGAGGGCATTTCAGTCTTTTTGGCAAATTATCCAAATTCCAGATTGATACCCCATACCCATTTTGTCATTTCAGTAATTTACATGCCCATTTGTCATTTCAGAATTCAACAGTCATTTTCTTGTCATTTTCCCAAAAAATTATGCTAAAAACTACATTTATTGAAATCATGCAATATAAAGCTTCCTAGTCCTTTCTAGGAAAAATAATAAATTAGAACATTTTTATTACGCTAATTAATTGTGTAATAATGGTCTTCATTTCTTAATTGAAAAATAGGATTGAATGGAATCAAAGTTGCTTACTAAGTGACTCTCCACCCGCTCAATCACCTTTAAATAAATAATAAATAAGTAAAAGCCTCCTTCTAAGTAAGTTCGTCCTCTAATGCGCTCAATCACATAGATTCATTTTTCTCAACTTAGGGGGCATCTGTGAATGCGAAAATATACAAGAGTGTATATATAATCATCTATAGTACTCGAGTGATAAAAGACGACACTTGAGATATACAACAACAGGTAAAAGGTACCCATATTAGTTTAGCGATTTGATTGAATAATACCGAATATTTAAAATATTTATTAATAATTTAAAAAGGACACTAATTAACATACCATTTTGCCCTTCCATACTTCTGTCATGTTGCTTTCAGTCATGTTGCCGTCCACTGGGAATATTGAATTGTCACTTAATACAAATCATATTCAGCTGAGGCATACTTTTCTTATTTATAATGAATTCCAAATATATAATGCATTTGAAGCTTCTCTTCAATTGCCTCGCCCATAATTTAGTCCTATATATGTTCATATTAACTTCTTGTCATTTTAAATTTTGTGAATATTTAGTCCTATATATGTTCATATTACCTTCCGTGTAGAAACACCAAAGGAATAAAGACAATAATTAGTCGCACGATCCCACATTTCACGTTATAACTATTATGTCATTTAGTGGAAATGACGTTTGAGGACATATATTAAGGATCACAAGTTTTCAAAAATTTCAAAAACAAAAAAAAAAAGAACAGACCAAGGTCTCCATTGGAATTAAAATTTTCCCGGGCTAATTTTTTTAATACTAAGTTATTATTATCTATCAATAACATATCAAATATTATAAACTTGAAATATTCGATTTCGATTTTTTTAA